ATGATCACCTCATCTCTCTGATGGAGAAAAAAATGGGGCAATTTGATCTGAATTATTTCTCAGCTTTCCTCCTCCTTTTCACCTCAATTTTCTGTCATTGTTTAATCTTACCTTTGTCTCTCCAATTTTAGAGAAAGGGGTTTATCTTCTTACATTTTGAAAGTTAATCCTTCATTCTGTACCTTTGATCCCAGCCTTTCTTCCCAACCTTTGTTTTTTGTTCTTCAATCTCTTCCTCCCTGATGGTTCCTTCTGCCTGGCCTATACACATACTCAAATTTCCTCCTAAAATCACCTCCTTAAACCCCACTACGGCACTTTTTTATGACTCCTCTGAAATTACTTACCATAATCTATCCTGAATCAGATTCTGTGTATCTGTCTTACCTCTTAATGGATTGTAATCTACTTAAAGACTAGGAGTATCTCATCTACTCACACTGGTATCTTTTCATAGCACCAAGTACAATACTTTATTTATAGGACATGCACTTACTGAATAAATAAATTAACAAATCTATTAACTATAGATTTTCTATGAACACAGAATAAGGCCTATTTGACAAAAGTTCACTTTCAGATTTAGCTACTCAAGTTAAATAAATAATTCTGGTAGGAGAAAAGCAAAGAAGTAATAATATATCAATGCAATCTTAAGTATTTTCATACCATTCTCTTCAAATGTCACAACTCAAAATTATTACAAATGTAAAAGTTCCAGAAAAAAAATGATCTATACAAAAGTATTTAAAATCCAGAAAACGTAAAACTTTGGTTTTATTATAACGATAACGGTTCTTTCCTTTAAAAATTTTACTTGTTTTTCATAAACTAGTAAAAGCTAAGAACCGTATATTCCTTAAAATTGAAGTCTGGAGGTTCATTTGTTAATTTTTAAATAAAAATCCATTTATAAACGTGAGTAAACTGTAATTTTTTACTTAATAAATTCAACATGGTAACTTAATATGTAAACTGGAATTCAAATGTATTGGTATAGCCCTATAACCTAACAAGCTACATCGTGGGAGGTGCTAAGAAGATAGTGATAGACCCTTCGCACTTGAGTAACTGATATTCAATGTTTCGGTTATTCTCAAGTGAGTCTAAAGTCCATGACATGGAAGTCACTTGCAGTTTTACTAAGGCAACAACAATGCCGTAGTTGACAAACAGGAAGTGACTTAGGAGTTAAGATGGCTGACCATCTCATATTCAATCTGATACAGCTTCCATGTATTATTGTATTAGCAGTAATTCTTGTGAAAAAGCAATAAAATATTTCTCTCTTTACAGGGAAAGGAGAAAATCACCTGCTATTGCTGGTGATGGAAGTTTAAGTCTAAGAAACTGCCACAAAATTGGAGTTTTAGAGACATTAAAGAGCAAAATATCTAAATCAATACTGCTCAGCTCTATGATGGGAATGAGTCTGCCATGCATTCCATATTAACACAGGGCAAAAAAATCACAAGACTGTTTCACCAAGTTCTCCAGCCAGAATTTATCTTACACAGCTTTGTAAGTGGTTTTAGGCCTATACATACATAAAGGGTTGCTTAAATTTTCAGTTTTATTTCACTGACGTTCATGAAAGAAATCACATGTGGGGTGCACATTCTGGTCCTGCCTTTATTTCCTGGCTGTTTTTGTGCCTCAATTTCCCATTCTCTGAAATAGAAATAATACATAACTTGTAGGGTTGTCATTAGAATTCAAACTGAAATCAGATAATGTGTACAGTATTTAAGATTTCCAAAAGTATGTCATGGGGATTTTATTAAATGTTGTAGATGCTCAATAAATGGCACACACTGAAACAGCTGTTATAGTGCTGGTGTTAAAGCAAATACGGGGACTCCCAAGGAATACAATGTAGTGGATATTTTCAGTGTTCTCCAACCATTCTGTAAGTCTGTTTTTCTTCCCTTAGACAGAAATGCATGTCCCCTCTTCAAAGCTGTTCTTTAGGCACAGGTGTCCTGCCCACTCTCCTCCAACCATTTAATGGGACTTACTCCCCTGCATCTCACTGCAAACAAGTCCCACACCTGCACTGGCATAGGGACCAGTGCTACAAAATAAGGAAAGACGGGGTTCAAACAGGGGACAGAGAAATGACAGAAAGGAGACTTTGGCTGACAAAGAATTCAGACAGAATGGGATGTTTCCCCTTCTCCCTCTCAGGAGGTACAACAGCAGTCTGACTAGTTAGTCTTAGTTGGAGATTAACTGCTGTTGTTGCTATTGTTAGTTGCCGTCATGTCAGCTCCAACTCATGGCAACCTTATGTATAACAAAACGAAATGTTGCCCAGTCTTGTGTCATTTTCATGATCTTTGTACATATTTGAGTCCACTGTTACAGCTATTGTGTCAACCCATCCCACTGAGTGTTTCCCCTGAACACAGAAACCTCATAGCTCAGTTTTACATAGAAAGGTAGGTTTATTTTGAAGATAAAAAGATTTATAAACATCTACAGGTATAGGATAGTTTAGAATGAAAAGTACGCCATCAGGAAACTGCTATATTGGTTCAAGTCATCTACTATAAATTAAAAGGTTTTTTGGCCAGTAGAGGTAGAAAACAAAGGCAGTTTCTAAGAGTGATCCTCATTCTTACTTCCTCCCATGGTTAGGTCTTTTTAAAATGATGGGTCGAAGAGGGAACTTTCCCCGCAAGTGAAAAATCTAGTTTACTTTAGAAACTACTAGCCTAATAACATAATTCCATTCTTACTTGATTCAATAATTAATTTATACATTCACCAGAATCTGGCTACCATCTCTGGCTGATGATAAAGATGCACAGTCAAACATCCTCTGAATACTGTACTAAATTAAGAGTACAGGCTGTGTAGACAACTTATCCTTTATGAACTTACCTTTCTCTCATAGAGCTTCATTTTCTCATTTGTATAATAATTTTCTTTTAATAAAGGGTATAACCATGTATAAATTAAAAAAAAAAAAAAAGCTCTACACAATAAAAGGATGTATTTGAAATGGTTGTATGTGTTTAAGTACTTACTGACACTACCAAAACTTTAATTTCTATTCACTGTGAGGTGGATAATATTTACTATTTTGATTAAAACCTGTAACAACAGCAAGTTTTTATTGCATGGTTATTGTGTAGCTGACACTGTGCTTAATACTTCACATATTATCTCCTTTAGTACTCACAACTATCTATGAGATACATTATCCCCAATTTACAGATAAAGAAATTAGGTCTCCGAAAGATTGGGGAAATTGCCTAAAGTCGCTTAGCAGGTAAGTGGCAAATCCATGGTTGGAACTATCTGACTCACAGGCCTCTTAATCACTTTATTACTTCATCTCTTGATTGCACTATAGTTTCTCTGATACGTGGAAACAAAAAGATGAAGCTATCTGCCAAAGAAAGTTAGATAATCTTAAGAAAACACAATTGCAATTTCTGCAAGTACTAAATTATAGTATCTGACAACTCAACAATCAAATTGGTCTTTATCTGCCAAATATAAGTCATAGTTAAATGGAAAGTCTCTTTTTTAGCTCTATTAGACCTAATGAAAAAGCTGGGTCTGGGGACTATATCTTACCTGTGTT